AACCAATCTTCTTTTTTCATAAATCCTTTTAATGGTGAAAATCCTCCAATTCCCATCATAACAAGATCCCCAAATTCTCTTGATGAAATATCAATCTTTGGAAGTGATTTTGCTTCTTTAATACATTCTTCTCTTTCTGCTCCATATTTTAATGTTTTAATGAGTTTTCCTCCATGTGGTTTAATCAAGTTGTTTAAGTTTTCTTGAATGCTCATTTCTTATTTTTTAGTTACTCCTCTGATCTATAAATCTTCTTCTTTTCAAACTCTGCTTTTTCTTGTTGTATTTTGTCTTAATTACTTCTTTAATTTCTTCATTTTTTGCTTTGTTGTATTCTTTGAACTTTCAGTTTCTTGAACTTGTTCTTTTTCTGTAAATTCGTGAAATTCCTTTTTCTCTTTTTTCTAAAAATTGAACTTAATATTTTTATTATTTTTTATATTATTCTTTCTATTAATTTATTATTTATGAATTATTCACATTTTTGATTATTAGATCCTTTTGATGATTCATTTTATGAACATTTCATTTCTTCTCTTATGTCAAGATAGTGTTGTTTATAATAACTTATTAATTGTTGTGATGATTAGTTCTTCAAAATGAAAAGACACTGAATTAAAAGAAATGATGATTGGAATTAGAAGAGAATGAACAGAATGGGAAATGAGATTTTTAAGTTATTTACAATTGAAAGAATAAAAACAGTTGATCAAGAATATCAGATGATTAGAGAAAAGTCCATCGAATCAGAAAAGAAGTTATTCTCAACTACAAAATATTATCAAACTCAAAAACATACTTCATGAAGCTGCTTTACTTCAAGTTGAGATTTCTTATTCATTATGTGAAATGACTTTAAACAATCTCAAAGCAACACAACTGACTAACTCTATTTTGAATGCATCACAGGATATTCTAATTCAACAAAATCACTTCAATTCATTCATCAAAGATAATATAGAAATCCCTCTCCATTCATTTCTTAATCAATTCAGAATGTTAAGTAGACGAGATTGTGAGTTAGAAGAAAGAAGAAAGAAAATGGATAAAATGAAACAACACCTAGTAAAGAAAAAGGGAAAGAAGTTAGCATGTTCTTATTTAATTTCCATCACCAAAAAATATCAAGAAAGTAAAGAAGAATATTTAGAAATGAGAAACGAATTAAAGAATGATAGAAACATGCTTCTTAAAACATTTCCAGAGATAGCAGAGAGTATTGGTAAAGGATTTATTAGAGAAGGATGGGGATGTCTTCTGATGAATAGTAGAATTTGGGAGAGAGTAAGTCAAGGTCTTTGGAAAGATGAAGAAAAGAGTATTTTAGAAGTGAGTGATGTCATCACCAATTCAATCAAAACACACTCTATTCAAAACAACATCACCAGAAAACCAACAAATGTATTTCATGGAAGGGTTGTTTATAGTTATAATCCACAAAATGAAAGTGAATGAAATAGAAGAAGGAG